GTTGTTGTTGTTCATGTTGTTGTTGTTAATGTTGTTCGTGTTGTTGTTGTTTATGTTGTTATTGTTCATCTTGTTGTTGTTCATGTTGTTGTTTTTCAGGTTGTTGTTGTTCATGTTGTTGTTTTTCAGGTTGTTGTTGTTCATGTTGTTGTTGTTCATGTTGTTGTTGTTCATGTTGTTGTTGTTAATGTTGTTCGTGTTGTTGTTGTTTATGTTGTTATTGTTCATCTTGTTGTTGTTCATGTTGTTGTTTTTCAGGTTGTTGTTGTTCATGTTGTTGTTTTTCAGGTTGTTGTTGTTCATGTTGTTGTTATTCATGTTGTTGTTGTTCATGTTGTTGTTTTTCATGTTGTTGTTGTTTATTTTGTTATTGTTCATCTTGTTGTTGTTCATGTTGTTGTTGTTCATGTTGTTGTTGTTCATGTTGTTATTGTTCATCTTGTTGTTGTTCATATTATTGTTTCTCAGGTTGTTGTTGTTCATGTTGTTGTTGTTCATGTTGTTGTTCGTGTTGTTGTTGTTTATGTTGTTATTGTTCATCTTGTTGTTGTTTATGTTGTTATTGTTCATGTTGTTGTTGTTTATGTTGTTGTTCATGTTATTGTTTTTATGTTGTTATTGTTCATCTTGTTGTTGTTCATGTTGTTGTTGTTCATGTTGTTGTTGTTTATGTTGTTATTATTCATCTTGTTGTTGTTTATGTTTTTGTTGTTCATTTTGTTGTTGTTTATGTTGTTATTATTCATGTTGTTGTTGTTCATATTGTTGTTGATTATGTTGTTATTGTTCATGTTGTTGTTCATGTTGTTATTGTTCATATTGTTATTGTTCATGTTGTTGTTGTTTATGTTGTTATTGTTCATCTTGTTATTGTTCGTGTTGTTATTGTTCATCTTGTTGTTATTCATGGTGTTGTTGTTCATGTTGTTGTTCGTGTTGTTGTTGTTTGTGTTGTTATTGTTCATCTTGTTGTTGTTCATGTTGTTATTGTTCATCTTGTTGTTGTTCATGTTGTTGTTGTTTATGTTGTTATTGTTCATGTTTTTGTTGTTCATGTTGTTGTTGTTTATGTTGTTATTGTTCATGTTGTTGTTGTTCATGTTGTTATTGTTCATGTTGTTCTTGTTCATGTTGTTGTTGTTCGTGTTGTTGTTGTTTATGTTGTTATTGTTCATCTTGTTGTTGTTCGTGTTGTTATTGTTCATCTTGTTGTTGTTCATGGTGTTGTTGTTCATGTTGTTGTTCGTGTTGTTGTTGTTTTTGTTGTTATTGTTCATCTTGTTGTTGTTCATGTTGTTATTGTTCATCTTGTTGTTGTTCATGTTGTTGTTGCTCATGTTGTTGTTGCTCGTGTTGTTGTTGTTTATGTTGTTATTGTTCATCTTGTTGTTGTTCATGTTGTTGTTGTTCATGTTGTTGTTGTTCATGTTGTTATTGTTCATCTTGTTGTTGTTCGTGTTGTTGTTGTTCATGTTGTTATTGTTCATGTTGTTGTTGTTCATGTTGTTGTTGTTCATGTTGTAGTTGTTCATGTTGTTTTTTTTTCATGTTGTTTTTTTCATGTTCTTTTTATTTTTTATGTTGTTGTTCACGTTATTGTTCATGTTGTTGTTGTTCATGTCGTTTTGATCTAAGGAAAAACATCATGATTTTATTTAATGTGTGGAGCTGATCTGAGGAAAAACATCAACGTGGATCTCCGGATCCAGACATTTCCCATGGCCAGAAATGCGTGTCTTCCACCCTAAGCAATCTCGGGAACGGCCATCTATCAACAACAAAACGCACACACACACGCACACACAATTAAAACGTATAAATCTTTCCCAGTTACCGACATCACACCACTTCTGACACATGACATCTCTCTCACCACGTATGACACATGACATCTCTCTCACCACGTATGACGTATGTCACACAACATCCAATTAACATAATAAGGATTCAATCATTTAACGCTTTTTATTGATTTAAAAACACACAAAAAACATTTTTTCACTTGTTATTTATTATTTACTCTTACTGATTAAAAGCATTTATGATCGGTTTCAAATATTATCTACCGAACAGAGTCATTGGAGCCTTATCCAACAACGTGGAATTCTCCAAGGTTTTCCACTGTGTCCAAAACAAGCCGATGAACCCAAAGACCAAGTGTCACGTGTGGTGAAGGCAGCTTGATATCAATTATTTCTTCAATTATTTATTTTTAACTCACATAAGCTCAGTTTACACGCTCAAATTTTTGTCAAATTTATTTTTTTTAAAGCGCTATTTTGTTTTGCTAAATAGTTTTAAATAGTGCGCTGAATAAGAAATTTGACGAAAATTTAATCGTGTGTACTGAGCATAATATAAATAAATAATAGCACTGCTGTATCGGCTTTTTATTAAAATATTTATTTTTTATTTAAAATGCAATAATAAATAATGATTTGGAAATTATCCGGCTTTTTTTTTATTTTTTTTTTTTTTTTTTTTTTAAAAAGGAAGCAAATGTTATTTCTGTTTAAATATTTTATTTTTTTTTAAACTTAGAATGAAATAACTACCGGTACTGAAAACAATAGGTCGTACGAAAGGGCTCTTTTAAAATGGTATGTTGTACGGCACACAGTTTGCTTTCCATTTTATTTTATTTTTTTTATTTGAGATACAATGCAATTGTGTAGTTTCGGTGGAATTGGCAAAATGGAAGATCAGCTTTGACCCACTCAGTAGATTTCACAGCCCTCTCCCCTCTCCACGCCACTGTGGAACTCAGAGGAAGCTAGAAATCGATCCTTTGGACGATGCAGCTTAGCACCAGGCTCGTCGTTTGTATTGCCGGAATAGTCATTATAGGTCAATGAGTACAATGTCATTACGCGGTCTCCACCTTAAGATTTTGCTGTCCGTTCCTTTGCTACCCCCGTAGCAATTTACGTTCCTTTGCTCCCCCAGTAGCCATTGAACCGGCTGATGGTTTAGACGGAGTTGGTTCTTCTCTGAGAGGAGCCACCACCCGAGGTTGACGATTCCCATCTACCCGAGGTGTCTGCTAGTTTGCGTTTTCTATCACAATCACAGGCTTTTTAAACTTTTATTTAGCTTGCGATTTTGTCTGTTTCTTTGTAAGGGTCAAATCTTGCATTTCAATATTGACCCACTTACTGATATCCAAATGAGCTGAAACTCTGTACACCCTGACTAAAAAGTACAAAATAAAACTACTTTAAAAAAAAATTTTTTTTTTAAATATGATTACTAAAAAGTGTTGTTGTTTTTTTTTCGTTACCCCCAAAACTTCAGAGTTATTTATTATTTATTGCATTTTTGATGTATCATCCAATGATGTTCCCCTAGGTTATCCAGCAGCGTGGAGAGAGGCGATTTGCTGTTGGGAACCAGCTTATAATCCTTGAAGAATAATCCCAGGCCATGTGGATTTCGTCCTCCGAAGCCCACTCCATCGTGACATTGTGACGGACGGATGCCAGCAAAAAAAAAAAAAAAAAAAAAAAACCCAGGCCATGTGGATTTCGTCCTCCGCAGCCCACTCCATCGTGACATTGTGACGGACGGATGCCAGCAAAAAAAAAAAAAAAAAATGCCAATTAGTCATAACGTTTTGTTGCTGTTTTCAAATTTTATGATTTAGTTATTGAGGATTTCTTCTTCCCCTTTGCTTTTTTTTTATTTTAACCTCTATATTTAAATAAATATATATATGTGTGTGTAATATATATATTTAAATAATTTATAATTAATTTTAGCAGTGATGAAGTTGGCCACTTTTCTCAATCAAAGGTGAAGGCCGAGACATGACCTGAATCAGTCATGGCCACATTTCTGTTGACATTTATTTACTTCCGGTGGCCTAACCCTTGAACTTGACTAACCCATCATTTCATTCTAAATCTTTGAAAGTGATACTAGACTGACGGTGCGTTTGTACTGTGTGTCTTGTTCTTATTTTACTCATGCATGTTCATTTTATCGGTATTTATTTCAATATTAGGCTTTCTTTTACTTTTTCATTTCTTAGCTGACAGTAACGCGAGCGTTGCTTTGTTGTCAAAGTCAAATTAATTGTACTTTTTTTTTTCCACCTTAACTACTAACTGCTTAACTTAACTTAACTTTAATTTTAATCTCTAACTTAATTTGCTGTTTGTTAAGGTAAGTCAACTTTCTTTTTATATGCCTAAATTAAAAATTAATTATTTTGAAATTGTTGAAAGAAATGTCAGCCAAGATTGAAGTTAATTAATTTAATGATCACCATTTTCAGCTGATTTAAACTTAAGCTTAAGTAGTAGCTCCCTTAGTAGGTAGTAATATTATTAATTTCACCTTAAAACCACTGCAAAATACATGAAAAAATAATTGGAAAACAATAAATACATGTTACAGTAGCCACTGAAGTGTTTTAGTGTAGTTCCATCAGGTAAAAATGAATTTTTAAATCTTATTTCTGTATAAATAATAAAACGCACTAAAATAAGGGATTGCCGTAGTATACTTTTTATTAGTAAATAATAGACCAAATCTTTAGAATATTTAGATCGACCCATGCCATAATATTATTAATATACTATGATATTACTTAACAAAAAAAAACGCCATTGCCTGCTATTGACTAAGAAATAATGTGTTTGGTCACCCCAAAGCTTGAGAGAGCCGCCCCGACAAGAAGAAGAAGAACAAAGCACTATTAGTATTAGTATTTCGTAGTTAGTAGTTCACTTCCCTTGATATGAATTATTTAATTTTTATCTACGATACCGGTACAACCATATTGCATTATGATTATCACATCAACTTACTGGTCCATAACACTAATTAAAAATTCTCTCGTTACCAGTTACTAAAATGCAAAGAACTTTGAACTCAAGTCTTGTGACTGTCAAATGGTTGAAAGATCTGCTACAGTTACAGCTAAGCACAAACTCTTCCAAATACAGGGTTTTGGATGCCTCATGGCATTTGCCTAACACAGGGAGGAAGGCAGCACAGGAGTTTACAGAAAAGCATATCCCTGGTGCACTTTTCTTTGACATTGATGAGTGTGCAGACAAAGCAACAGATCTCCCTCATATGATACCCTCTCCTGAAGTTATGGAAGATTATGTTGGTTCTTTGGGAATAACAAATGACACTCATGTAATCGTATATGACAATAACCCACAGTTTCCTTTGTTCTCTGCTCAACGGGTTTGGTGGACATTCAGATTATTTGGACATAATCAAGTATCCGTCTTAGAAGGAGGATTACCGAAATGGATTGCTGAGGGTGGGCCAGTCACCAATGAAATAATTCCTGTGGCTAGGGAAAATTTTAAAGCTAAATTTAATCTCAATTTTGTTAAAAGAATAGATGACATTAAAAGCAATTTGGAAAAGCCAGAGTTTCAACTTGTTGATGCTAGACCTGAAGGCCGTTTTAAGGGCATATCACCAGAACCTAGAGATGGTCAGTAAATTGAGTAAAATGCATTTCAAATATTGTTAAACTTACACTTGGCACCAGTTTTAATTTTATGTCATTTGTCTTTTAAGTTTAAGAAAATGAAAAGGAAAATTACTGATATATAATATAACATTTAGTCTTGTTTATTTATTTTTTAAACATTTTCATTTAACAGTTGTAAAATAAGTCATACCTGGTATTTATATTCTTTTCTTAAAATATTATGTTATTTATCCCATAATCATAAAATCTCTAAATATTTACAATTTTTGTAAATAAAAGCACACAACTAATTGGGTTTTTTATGCCTAACCTGACTTGATGAAAACTTTTTAAATTCTAGACACAAAGCCAGGTTCCATCCCAAACTCATTAAATATTCCTTTTATGGCAACAATGAACCTAGAAGAAAGAACCATGAAATCTCCAGAGGAAATAAGAAAGTTATTCCAGGATGCTGGCGTTGACCTCAACAAGCCATTTGTTGTTTCTTGTGGATCAGGTACAGTTCCAATTACCTCTTTGTTGTTGAATTTAAATTTGATCTGTTGTTACCCGTACCGTATTAACTCTATGTATTCTTTAATGGCTAATTCCTGGCTGCTTCCACCCATTGATAATTACAGAAGGAAGTAAACAAACGAGTAAATCCAAATAATTATTATTCCCCAAGAGTATAAATTCTGTGCCTGTTACTGTTACAGGTACATTTTTTTTGTGTTGATAAAACAATAATTTTTTTAAACTTGTGCATAATAAAACTTACTTGTCCTTTTTCATAAGCCTGATTGCCTTGGTGCCCCATTATTTATACTTTATTTATCTCAGTCTCGAGCAGTTGACTGGTACCACATACATATTTTGTTGACGGTATATTATTAATTAATCCTGGCCCTAGAGTCCCTAAAACATTTAAACAGTACCATATACCGTTCTTGTCACTTTATAAGTATATTTCTTGATAAACCCTAAAGTAAAAATTGAGGTGAATATAAATATCCGGGTAGTCAAATGACCATCGATTTTTTAAATTTTTTTATATTGCCTTACATTTTGTGATTTTAACTTAAGACTTAAGGGCCTTAGCTACATATTAAATAAACTAAGTTTTGCCCTTGTCAGTCATGAATGATTTCCTACATATTTTTTCCATAACTTGGCATACCATAACTATTTGTTTTACTCAGGAATATCTGCCTGTGTGCTAGCCCTGGCCGCTCACATGATAGGTAAAGATGATATTGCTGTGTATGATGGCTCCTGGACAGAATGGTATCACCGAGCTCCACCTCACCTAAAACAGAATGTCCCAGCCTAACAATATCTTATTTGTCATTCATATGAAACAAGATAATGAAATTCTGTAATATTGATAGATATCCTTTTCTTTACTACCACAATTTTTTTCAGAAAACCATCTGTATATAGTGTATGGATCAAAATGGAAATAAATGCTATTTGAAAAACACAGTGCCTAGGCCTATGATTTAGTTTAAGATGGTTGCTTGGTTGAAACTTGTCCTCAATACCTTGGTGAAAAGCTTCTGTGTTTTATTTTATTGTAATCTTCAACTGTTTGTCAATGTTGTTTTAATATTTTGTACTGGTATCTGTACTCGTTTTAACTAGTGACTCTCCAAAGCTTCCATAAGAGTTTCAAAGTCTAAATGATAACTAATTTAATTAAGTCATTATGTCACTAATTAAGTCATTATTGTCACTAATGGGGATCATTGCTGGCTGATTTATACACTAGAGAAATACTTTGGATGTGTTTAAATTGTTATAATTGAAAAAATGTTGTCTTGGTTAAAGTATGCATTTAATGATTAATGTATATATTTATGTACTGAAAATGAATATGTAGGCTACTATTACTATGAAATTAAAAAAATATTTCTATTTATTTGGATCAATAAAGAAAGAATCATATCTTATGAAAACTTCTTTCATTTCTTTCAAAGATAAATACCAAACCTGGCAGGGTAAATGTTTACTTTTGTTTGGTAGAAGTAGAACTGCATTTGCATTTACAAATAGTGTGAATATACAGCTTTGCAAATTCAAATTGCTTTATGTGTGCAATGCCCATATTATAAAGATTTTTTTTAAATATTCAAATTTAAGCTTTTTTTTATTGCTTTTTCTCAAGCCGCAGGTAGTGCACAGGTTTATCTATAAGTATAAGTGTTTCAGTGTATATTGCATAGGTTTATCTGTAGGTGTTTAACTGTACAAGGCACATCAATGCACTGGTGCAAAGGTTTATCTATAGGCATGTCATGTACTAGTGACACAAGATTATCTACTACTTCTACTGCAAAGGTTTATACAATTTATAGATGTGTAAATGTACTAGTGCATGGGATGATCTATAGGTGTGTCAATGTACTAGAGGACAGGTTTATCTATCGGTGTATACTATCAATGTATTAATGCACAGGATGCACTATAGGTGTCAATGTACAAGTCCACATGTTTATCTATAGGTGTGTCAATGTATATACATTATACATATTCTGAAAACCCATAAAAATATATAGAACCTATGACAAATCAGTTGTTCTTCTCTTCGACTGATAAAACTTGATAATATTTAGAGAAGTAAAAGCTAATTACCGGTATAACAAATTAGTTGTTATTTTGTATAAAATGATGCTAGCACATAGCTTTTTGTGATGGGAACCTTATTTTTGGAAGGAATGTGCTTTTTTTTGTTTTGTTGAAAATTCATTAATAATTAATTAAGAAGTTTACCCTAAAAATAAAGGATTATAGTTAAATAAAAATTCAAAGCCACATTAGTATTTAGTAATAACCGTTATATATATAATGGGTATATATATAAATTGTATAACACAAGCAGGTCCAGCATAGCCGTCACTTGACTTTTTGTCCTCCCCCACTATGTATTCAAAGTAGATAATTTAAAAATGTCTGAGGTCCCCTGCAGTTTTAGGGGTTGCGGGGCCAACACGATGGCTCTGAGGTTAAATGACAACTACATTTTTATCTAGCGTCTCTTTCATTGATCTCCAATTAAGTGCAGAATGTTGCAAAGCTAAATTTGAGTATGTTCTAAAATACATTCTTGCATTTTTAATTTATCAAACTTTTCTGGGTTCTATAAAGATTTAAGGGACGAGAATAACCTAGGGCAAAAAGCATACCCTCAAAGACACCACAACTGGAATGAATTTAGTTCATATTGGGCTGGGTGGAGTTAGAGATATTCATGATCATTATATGGCTAATTTTGGTGCTTCCCACCCAAAAGTCTGAAATTCTTCCTCAAAATTGTCTGAAAGAAACACTGAATTCAAGTATGCGCTAAAATGCATCACTGTCTTTGAATTTGCACAATTTGCAATTATATACCACCAAAGCCGATTTTGGCACCCAGTGACATCTGTCCCTCTGCCCCTCCCCCAGCTACGCATCTAGCCACTGTCACTGCCCCCCTCCTCCCAACCCAGGAAATAGTCTGAAAGAAAAACCATGAAGAAGAATTTATTTGCGCGGGTTAGAGCTGCCTACTACTACTGAACTTTAAAAAAAAACACCAACAACTCTTCAGCCAGCCGAAAATGCTTCCCCTCCATAGAAATTTAAAAAAATGTCTCAAACAATGTTCCCTTTAAGCTGCGCGGCCGCGCAGCTATCTCACAGACGCCGCGCAACAGTTTTGAGTACCACGCAGCTAATTTCCACTTTTAAGTGTGTGTTTGCGTTTGTGGGCCGTAAAATTTTGCGCACCAAAAAAATTGATGCTGTAAAACTTTGCACACCACTGCATGATTTTGCACACGGACCAACAAACCTTAGAGGGAACATTGGTTCCAAAGCCCCCGTTCTTAGGCATACGCTGACTACACATCCGCGTAGGGCCCCGAACGTGAGGGAGCCCCCGTGAGGCGCCCTCGATCCCCCCCGGCACTGCAGCCGTCTGTGTCACTCACGTTACCTTCCTCATCCTGAAATGTATCATTCTGAGTTGAATTCGGAGGCAGTGGAAGGGAAGCAGCAGGGGGGAGCTTTGGGGGTGGCAGACAGGAAATCGGGGGCTTGGCCGTGGGAATGAGGAAACATTGATGACGGCAGAATGGAGGTGCCAAAGTGGTGGGTGGTGTTTTCTCCTCAGCTCGAGGGAGCTCCACCCCCGGACTCCCTCTTCCGGGGCGCCCAACCTACGCTCCGTGCTTAGGGCCCCCAAACTCCTAAGAACAGCTCTGCTCCATTGTTTTGCTGCGCATGTGGAATGACTTTTTCTGAGCAGTTGTGAGTCATATCTTAGTAAGTAAATAAGTTGTTTAGTGGCCTGTGGTTGGTCAGCACTAGTTCGATAGGAGGGATTTAATTATTTAGATGACACCTAAGCCTAAGTTGACTCCGATTTGTGATGAGCACTTTGAAATGTATTTTGGTCAATTTACGCAGTCCTCGCCATGACGTGATTATGTGTTCACTTTAAGTAAAGTCGCTTCCCTTTGTTTATTTTTGAAATGTTCCTAGAAGTATTCGTTGTCTCTTTAGTATTAATACGCAGAAGGAATGTTGTTAATTTTTTTGTAAAATATTTGTTCCCCCTCCCCATTTTACCAAATGTGTGTACTGTTAGCACTACTTTTTTAAAATTTTAATTATGAACTCGACCGCCATCTTGGTTTCACGAGGGTCATGAAAACTAAGATGGCGGGCGTGAAACACGATGTCGCAGAGAACGTAAGTTCCTTTCTTATGAATAAGAAATCAGAATAGTATTGAAATCATTTAGTCGAAGTAGGTTTAGTCATATTTTTTTGGATTTGAATTATGATGCTGCAATTTTGGCCTATCCGCGCCATGGCATTTCAAGGGGTGAATTATTTAAGTTAATATGGCACACGGATCAGATGACAATTCAATTCAAAATCAATTCCATACTGTCACAATACCAGTCCAATCAGTAATTGTCAGTAAGGGACCTACATTGAATTAAAAGAAATTATTCAGATTAAAAAAATACAGGATACATTTAAAAAAATATATATTATAGGTCAGTTTGGTAAGTTTTAATTAGCCCTGCCCTACTTAACTTACTCAACTTACTGTAATTAGATACTTTGGTCAAAAATGTAAACATTTTTTTAAAAATAAACCAATGGCACAGTTGAATAGAGCTAATTTTAAACAGAATTATAACACCAAAATCATATTTTTAGCTGTTGTAGTTTTAAAGTTATGAATTTTTAAAGTACGACTTGGTTTGTCCTTTTTTAACATGGACTGCATCTCCACATTCTGTGACCTCATTCCGCCGATCGCGTCATGCGCAATGACTATATAGTTTATATAAGGCTAAGGCATTCCCTTATCACTAAAATACTGTTTAGGGTCGATTTATTTTAAACTTTCAACTTTGGCACATGAATAATTAATTAAAGCTTTCCCTGACCAATGGTTTAATAGTTTTTGCACACGGCAAACACTTATGAATGAAACTCTGAGATAGTACTACGATATAGCCGTTATGCAAGTGGCTGTGAATGGTTGCCAATGACAACGTGTTGCACACGGAAATTTCTGATCATTTATAATATGGACTCTACAGGGTTTTTAAAGCTCAAATTAAAACATTCCAGTTTAAATGTCTTCAAAATGCATTCTGAAACACAAGTTATCAAATATTTTGATGTATATAGTGGTAATAATTAAATATTTCTTAAGTATCGGCAACTTCCGCCATTAAAAAGGGGGCGTGGCCCACGCCATGTCGAAATAAGGCGGAGCCCCCTTATGGTGATATGGGTCACTGGGAGAAGCGTAGCGAACGTGGGACACGACCTACATCAATGAGAATTGGCACAGATATATATCAATATCTGATGCCTTACACGATTTAATATGAAAGACATGTTCCTTTTATTTCACAAAAAATTTTGTATTCGAAGATGCCTTATATATACCAAAGATTTTCAAAATGAAGTTCGATTGAAAAAAGCAAAATAGTTGGATGGAAATGTAGGCCAAGATGTCTTCCAAATTATAAGGCTGGAAACGGAACTCAAATATATGTCCAAAGAACTAATTTAATAATAAATAGACACACACATCGGAAAATTAAAAACTCGGATTTTTCGGCGCCAACGCCCATTTCCGATACAAAAAAAGTAGTAGTCTCCCTTGTTTTATCGAAGTATCTACTGTAATCAAGTATAGAAGAACTAATTTAAAAAATGCTTTTGGAACCAACCCAAGCCCAAATTGACAAAAAGAGTTAAGGCAGGGCATTAACTCTTTCTGTGCCAATCGACAGTATACTGTCGATTTGACTGGTCACGTTCGTGCCAACCCACAGCATACTGACGATATCATTTATGTAGTTTATTTCGTTTCTTGTGGCTCTTAATCCGACTTTTTTTTTCTTTAACGAAGACGGATAACTCTTACTACTTCCTTCTTTTAAGAAGTAGGGCATGTTTGCATGTGTTTTTTCTAATAATAGTTCAATTTGTGTTGAAACTTTTGTAAACAAAGCCCACTCCAAGCATGTCAGCTGTTGCTAGACCACGTAGGTAGTCAATTTTGAAAACAAAAGAACTTTTATTGCTAATTATTGATGCTGAAACAACAGAAAATAACTATGAATCATTTGAATCTGATTCCAATGATGATTTTCAGCATTCTGATGGGTCGGTAAATGCCAAATGGAAATAGTAATAGAATGGTGATTAGTACTGATAGTAATAGAATGGTGATTAGTACTGATAGTGATAGTCATAGTAATAGTGGTGACTGTCGGCAATTTCATTAAAATTTCAAAACATTTTTTAAAATATAAAAATACCACAAATGTATAGAGCCTAGAGAATGGATTAAAAAAACACCCAAATCAACTTTCTAGCTCAAGTAGTTCAAAAGTTATGATTTTTTTTCAAAACCACTTTGTTACTATGGCAACAGTGAGGATTCACTAAGTTACAAAAATGGGTATAACTCTGTAACAAAATGGAATATTTTCAAAATGTAAAATGCATTATGATAAAAAATGGATATACTTTTTGGGGATTGAAGCAGAATAGGATATCAGCTACACAGACCGTATGGTAGTCTGATAAGTTCAGATTTGGTTTGCAATTTTAAAAATTAAAAAAATTTGATCTCACAATTTTACCTAAAAAATTTAACTTATTGCTGTTATATTGTTTTATA